ACCATTGATTTAGCTTCATGGAGGGAGTGAAGGCTCACACGCAGCACATGTCATGCGTGTAGCGTCACAAAACTCCAAAACACTTGAATCGTTTAGGTTCTCGCAGCAAAGAACGTTGGGTCTAGTGCTCATACCAGTGTGCGCTGCAACGGTGCCAACCCTGTGTCATGTGGTAGTCGTAGTTGGCTTCGCTGTGAATCACATATTCACATGGACGGTGACAATGATTGCGTCGTTGATGACATGGGACTGGATGAAGTCTTCTTTGGCTGCGGGCTGCCCATTCAGTCTCTTCTCTCCTGCGCTGAATGATGTCTTCTAAATGCTGGATGAGGGAGTTGAGAATTTTGATGAGGTGCTCAAGCTCATCGTTGGACAAGTCGCTGAATCTGGTGCCAGACAAAAGTGGCATGACGTCACAGTCGCTGTAGCGTTCCATCATGGCGCTTTATGTAATGAACGGGGCTTGCTTGAACCTGAACCTTGACAAGAAACACGGTACATGGGGAGAACACAAAGGAAGGCAAAGTGCCCTAAATGCGGTGACCTATACAGAACACATATGGCTGGCGTCGCTCAAAATTGTTTGATGCCGTTGTGATAGTTGATTCGCGCGTCCTCTTTAGGGAGCGAAGATAGCGATGCCCTTGATGGTGAGGTGGCCAGCGTGGAGTCCCCATCTCTCCGGGGCTCTGACCGCTCCTCTGCGGCTGACGATGGCGTGCTCCTTGCGGGTGTCTCGGAAATCGCACTTGTAGCGTTGGACTTTGGAGTTGATGGTGCCGCGTACCCGCCAGCCCGTGAGCCTACGCCTTTGGCCACGCCAGGACCGTCTGCAAACAAACGTCCAGGTGTGGCTGCCGTACACCGCTGTGGTGGGGGCCTTTCGGTGCCTTCCACTGTCAGGTCCTGTGCAGATCGTCCGACACTATTCCCAGCAGCCCGGAGGGGCTGGTTCCACGCGCCACACATTCATATTGGCTGCCAGTTTCCTCAGGACGCATGCCCCATCCATGGTGTGAACAGGACTTGAATCTGTGCGGCGCGTGGCGTCAGGTGTGCCGCTGCCTGTGCCCATCTCTGCCAGTGTTGTGGCGAGTTGGTGAGACTCAGAAATCTTGGAGCCTTGGGGCTTCGGCCGATCCTGACTGTAGGTGCCACCATCGTCTGTGGTGGTGGTGGGTTGGCGTTGCTGATGTCCACTGAGAAGTTGGATGGCCTGAAACGTGTGGGTTGCAAGGGCTGCGTGTCGTGTTGATACCGGTGTGGGGATTGGTAGAATTGTGTGTTGAACTGTGTTGATGCGGGTGGTGGAGTGCGTCTTGGAGGTGGTGGTGGTGGCGTGGGATTGCGAGAGCTCCTTGTTTGGGGCCGCCGTTGCGATAGCTGCTAGGCCGCTAGGCCCAACTGCGACTGATTGCGAAGGATGATTACCCCGGGCGCGGGGTCTTGCAGAACGCGCTGATGTGGACGACGCTCCTGTGGCTGCTTGGTTGCTTGTTCGTGATGTCTTCTGCTCCTCGATCGCCTGCTGTGTCTGTGACGGTCGCTGTGCCGCCTGCCGCTGCCCCTGCAGCTTCTGGAGGACCGCGTAGTGCGTCTGGGCCTGTCTCTGTGCTGTCCTCGTGGATCCTGTGTTGTGGATGCTGACGTGGTGTCGGCGTTGCTTGTTGGGCCCCCAGTCGGGATTTTTGTGGTGCCTGGACACCTGGTGTTTGCAGGAAGCCCTGTGCGCTGTTGCGCAAAGCCTGTTGATCCTGTAGCTCCAGCTGAGCTAACACAGCCAGCTGCCGCGGTGTAAGTCATGGATAATTGGCCTGCGTTAGCTCCAATGGCCCACGTGATGGCAGAGTGTGTGCTGGTGGCTGCGCCTGCCCAAATGTTGGCAATGCTGTGGTGGCTGGTGCGCTCATCATGTGGGGAGTGTGGCTGGTGTTAGTGAAGAGGTCAGGATTATGGAATGTGTGAAGATTGAGTCCAGGCGAAATGCATTGTGTTGGGTGTGGGTTGGGGAGTCTTGTGAAGAAGCTGTTCAGTGGCCCTGCTGCCCACAGAGCTGCGCCTGGGATGGGGATGGTCCTCCCGTACCTGCCGTCATGGCAGCCAGCGCTTGTGCTTGGGAGGATGCTGGTCCTCCCACAGTTGCCGTCACCGTGGCCAGTGGATTCAGCGGGGCTGATGCCATCGGAGTCGTTGCCAGCAATGGATGCTGGATGGCCGTCTGCTGCGCAGACGGTACTGTTGGCACAAAGCCCGTTTGCATACTTTGTATGCTTTGCATGGTTCCCAGCACAGGGAACTGAGCTCCCAATGGAGCCTGCAGCTGGTTGGCCAGCAGCGTAAATGGATCCATCTCCACAAATTTGCCGGGAGTACGGAAAACAAAGTGAAGCTAAATGTTGGAACAGCTGGTGTTCGAATTGAGCTTCATAGGCCAGATTAGCACTTTACTGCAAAAGAGTACACTCACCTCGCTTGCACTCATGGCACATGCGTATGCATTCCTGACAGAGGGAAAAAACAAGCGAAGGCAAGAGGTAAATTATCTGGCCAGCGGCCAAATCAGCAAACAAAAGCGCTCCACCCAACCTGCCTTCGTGCACAATCTGCGGACGAAATTTTGCGGCAAGCAAAAGCACAATCAGTAGTGTAGCTGTCAAAGCTTGAACGTGTTGAGCACCCCGCCCAGTCCGTCACAGGTCTGGACTGTTGAAAAGCGTGAGTTATAAAAATTGCCTTAACTAGGACCCTGGGTGAACTGCCCCGCAGGACCACCACGGCGCCTTTAACGGAAAGCCGCTGATGCACACTTTGACTGGTTTTGATGTGATGAAACTCAATATTATGAAAATTTTTGCTCTGAAGTAGGTGCTCCTGCTTGCCCAAACTCCCAAATCAAATTATTTGCTGTTTTCCAATGCAGAAAACTCGGCTGATCAAGCATGCGGATTCTGCAACATTGTCATGGCTCATCGCACTCATGCACAGAGTGCAACTGATGAAACAACATGTCCAAAATTCATGCACTGATTGCAAGCCGAAGACTTCATGCATGCTCCAAAGTGTATCTTCGGAAAACTGTTTGCTCTAATATGCCAGCTCAGGGGCCTGGTTTTTCTTAATCTGGTCAGCACAGGGGCCTGACCTGTTGCAGGTACCTCCAGGTGATCAGCCTGGATATTTTCCCAACTTAAGAGCAGTTTCGTTGGCAGTGGTCTCTTGAGTGGGCCACTGCCCCCTGCACTGCATTGTTCATGTAAACAACACGTTGACATGTATGAAAGACCTTGCATGGAAAATTCGAGTGTGAACCTTTGCGCCCATGGATTAGGATGGTACACACACACACGTTTTCTTGTAGATTTGGGTCCGAGGTGGGCATACCAGTACAGGACGCGCAGAGGGAACCGGTAATTCAGAACACTCTTAACTCAGAACGCTCTGTTGGCAGCAGAGAGCTTTGCAAGGTGATGACATGGGTGTCGAGATGGTACGCCCCGAAAACGAAGAGGCGATGAACACTTTGTGCCTCCGTCGCATGGAAGCGTTCTCCAACAGGGTTTGTGTGCATTCGGCAGTGACGCGGGAAGTCGTGGCATTCCTTGAGCTCGTGGGTTGCGATCGGGGTTTTTGAACGAGAAGTGCTTCATTTCTAATCCAACTTGTGTAGTTCTAGAGTGGGATGGCTGCCCAAATGTAAATCATTGATAGACCCTGGATAAATTTCCCAGGACGGCCGATGTTGCGGCTGCAGCTGATGATGAGTGAAGGAGCTTGTGGATGCTGGGGAAGGTTTCAGGATCACATCTGAATTTTTGAGGGTCACTTGTGCTTGTTAGGAGGGTATTTAGAGATGTCGCTGCAATACGGGCATTGGCAATCAACTACACAAGGTCCCAGGGTCAGTCATGGAATCCCAGAGAAGTATCCGACGTGTGACTCGCAGGGTTGCTCCACCATCCAGTGCACCTCTTGATTGTCTGCTCGCCCAGGAGCATTGCGGACAGACTCACCGATTGTAGGACGCTCAAAGGCATAACCTCCGAAGGCATCTGGGCCTAAAGAAGCTGGGGGTAGTAGAGCAGCTCTCACACCAAAGATTGGTATCAAGCGAGAGTATTCATCGGGCTGCGAGATTTGTCGCCTCTCTTGCTGTTGCAGGTGAGCTCGAGAGCACTGAAGAGCCAAGCTACCTGCAAACGACACACAAGTGATGCCTTTGTGCTGAGAGTGGACCACGGCAACGGATCAAATGCAAAAAGTGCGCCAAGTTTAATTGGAAGGCTATGTGATTAAGTGTCCAGGGAGCATGTTGCAGGCATTTATCTTTCCCTTTGATGTTTTGCTACAGGGAGTGAGCCTCTGTGTCACAACTAGAGCGCTTCCAATGCCAAGGCATGGAACGCTTCGAACCTTCTCGGCGCCATCAAAGGAGCTGCTGCCTTAGTAGGTAATGCAGAATGGATCCCTGCAGTAGCACGTATACAATCCCCCATAGTCTCTTTCCATTCCTTCACTCCCTACGAGACACCAGCAAGTCACGAAGCCAGAGGGGCCTGGGATGCCGCTGAGATGTTTTGTTTTAACACGTAGAGGTTGTGCTCTCCTCCTACTATTAGCACATGTGAAGCTGTATGTAAGCTCCTACAAGCGCCCAGGGCTCTACATCTCAGCCTCCTGGCGTTGGCTCTTCAGCCACCAGAGGCAGAGAGCGTCTTAAGTTTTCAGGTTGTGACCATGCTTGCCATATCTTGCCAGAGTTCATGGATTTGGGTGGACAGTGCAGGCCAGCAGGGTTGCAGGAGGAGTGCTGCAAAAAGGTTCTTTTCCCAATTGAAGAAGTGCGACAGGATGTGTCCCCGGAGCCAGCCACCCAGCATATCCAGCATGCAGCTGCGTGATCGCCGTGTCTGAGATTCTCTGAGCTTGTGCAGGGTGGTGCGGCAGTGCAGACCGCCGCAGCGTTGGGCCCAGGGAGGTGGAGGGCTTTGGACCCGGCCATGGAGGCGAGCTCCCCTTGCTTCCTGCAGCCTGGGCCACTGCTCTCGCAGCCTCTGCAGCCTCTGCAGCCTCTGCAGCCTCCAGCTCCAGCATCGGCACGGACATGGCGTGAAGCGAGCCGAGCTTGCCCTGGTCACGGGCATTGCAACCCAGTCCTGGTGGGAGGATCAGCTGTACTGGCCTTGGCCGCCTTGCACCGCAAGAAAGCTAGTCGCCTCCTGAGCCTCCAAACTTGCCGTAAGCTCAAAGTTTTCACGTGGAGAGATCGGATTGCTTGACGCTGGTCGCTCTGAGGTGCGGGGCGTGTGCGGAGCAAGGCGGTTGCCCTGCGCGCCGCAGTTGACGTAGATGCGTGGAAGCGAGGGTTTCGGGAAGCGGATGAGCTCGAGGACGGGTATTACTTCATGGACGTTGAAGGGATTCCTGCAGACCTTCGTGGCACCTACTTCCGAAATGGACCAGGCAAGTTCAAGGAAGGAGAAAACCAGGTTCTGCACGAGATGGATGGGGATGGCTTCATCCTCGGAATCACCTTTGAGGACGGCCAAGTGTGCGTCCGCCATCGGCTGGTTCAAACTCAGGGCCTGCTAAGAGACAAGTTTGCTAAGCGGCTCTTTGCCAAGGGCTACTATGGCACCCCTCCGGCAGAAGGAGGAGCAGGCCTGGATCCCCGGACAGGCTTCCCCAAGCATACGGCCAATGCAGGCGTGGCCTTTTGGGAGGACCAGCTATTGGCTTTGGGGACAGCTGGAGGTACCAAGCCCTTCATGATAGACCCAGCAACTCTGGGCACGGTGCTTGGGAACGAGGACGAAGGCTCCTGGAATTTGGATGGGGCTCTAGACAGCGAAACGGGCTTTGGCTCCTGCCCCAAGGTTTGTGGCACTGAGGGCTGCCTTGCCTTCATCGATCAGGTGCCATCCGCCCTGCAAACCACGGTGAAGTACATGGAGTTTGCCCCGGGCGCCTGGAGACCGCGGTACCCGAAGCCGCGGGAGTTCTCGGTGGGCGGCTTCACGCGCTTCGCAGACTTCGCCATCACCCCCAAATGGCTGGTCCTGGCCAAGCCGCCGCTGAAGGCAACAAGACTTCTGCTTGTTATATGATATACAGTAGCGTCCATTTTATTTTCCATTATCTCAATATAATATATCCCTAATACACCATATAGTCCCAACATAACCTCAACAAATCCCTCTTTTACACACGCTTAGACGCTGTTTGTTGACAGGTGGACGGCATTGGTGCCGCCTTCGGCAAGACCTTCTCCGAAGTCTTGGACTTCGATCCTTCCGGGAAGGGTGAGCTCATCTTTGCCACGCGCCTGCGCAGGGATGAGCAGGAAGTCACAGTGCCCGTAGACGCACTGGTGTGCGAGGAGTTCGCGAACGCGTTCGAGGACTCAGTTGCGTTTACGCCGGTACAGTAGATGGCTGAAGGGCTTGACTGCTGCAGCGCGGGCTACCATGAATTGTCCAGCGTAGGCATACTTGCAAGGGGTCACCCCGTGCAAGAAGCCAGAGGTTTGTTGCGGGCATTCTGGGTTTCTCAAGAGTCGCAACATGTTGCGAGGGACTTCTTCAGGCATCGTACTCGCACAAAGAGCTTCCACCATAGCTCGTGCAGGACGGTGGGCGCGTGGTGGTGGACATGGTGACTGCCACCCGCTGGGAGCTGGGCAAGGTGGAGTCTGCACCGCGTTGGGAGGTCCAGGCTCCTGAAACTGTGATTGGAAACTCTTTTTCAATCTAGGTTCTTCTTGAACAACAGTTGAACAACATCCTAGATTTTTATGCATACATGGGCCCCATGTAGATGAAACATGATAATGTTTAGTAGTACTTCAGCAAGAACCCAGCGACTTCTGCTCTGACGAGTTACAAGTGTTACGAGGTCCCGGGTCCCTTCAGACCAAGGATCCCTGCCAGGCCCCCAAGCGCTCGCTGGAGCGCTACGAGGTTGACCTCAGCAATGGAACCTTCACCAAAAAGACACTTTGTGACAAGCACCTGGGCTTTGCCTCAGTGAACCCAGCCCTGACTGGCAAGAAGCACCGGTTTGTGTTTGCCGCAGTGGCACAGGGTGATGTCGGCCCTTACAGCGGCATCGCCAAGATTGACGTGGAGTCGGGTGACGTCGATGAATGGCTAGGGGGATCCTACGAGTTCGTGGGAGAGCCTTTATTTGTTCCCAAAGAAGACCTGGACGGAGAGGAAGATGGATATCTGATTACAGTCAGCTTTGATGGCAAGGAGGACAAGAGCTCCGTCCTTATTTTCGATGCCAAGTCCATCTCCGAAGGTCCCGTGTGTCAGTTCCCCCTCAGGCAGTCGCTGGGTCGTTTTGGAACGCTTTGGATCATGTTTTGTGACTGCCCGGAGCTAGTACGTTAATTTATATTGAATACGCTTGATCTCTTTGCCGCTACATGAGCCAGAGTCTAAACCCCTTAAAGGGGGTTATCAAATGGCTGCCGCCACTCCACCGACCCGTGAAGCCTCTTGAGCGGATGAGTTTGGGTTGGAAACCGGGGCAGATGGTCTGGGTTCTGGCCGTTGAGACGTTATATACACCAGCAAGAGCACCGCGAGCGGAAGAGAGCATGCAGCATGGCGAGAATTCTGGGTTCCCGCATGTTCGCCGTGCGCGGTACTTGCTCTCAGAGCCTCGTCGACGTAAGCAGGAGGCTTGGGGGAAGGGGGAGGGAGGGGACGGACAGAGGGGCATCAGGGGGAGAAGGGAGGGGGGAAAGCCGACGCCCGGTTTGGCATGCGGAGGTTCCAACGGAATCGAACCTACTAAACATAAATTAGCCGTGTGGGGGAGGCTTGCGGGGAGGGGGCGGCGGGGCTGGACCTGCTGAGGGTTGATCTTGTTGATCTTCATAATTTGTTGGGCTTCGATGAGTTAGGTGTGATTTCCTTGCATGACATGCTGGTTGCCGAAACTTTCGACTGAACTGATCCTCGCTGTGAAGAAGTGTTTAGACATGTCTGTTGTTGTTGGTTTGTTCGCCGCCTATGAGTGGTGAGTTCGCCGCCTCTGAGTGGCGTGTTGCCGTGTTGAGCGTAGTTGTTGTATCTGCATGTACATGAACAGGAGTGCATGTGCTGCATGTATCGCACGTATGCGTGCCCGTGGCTGTCTTGGACCGGAGAGATGCGCATGTACTTTGTGCAAAGGTAGTATGTACATATTCAGTTTTTAAATTCATTGTCGTTCTTGTTGTGTCTTTTCTCTCGTACTAAGAGCGTAGATACCTCATCCCGCGCCATAGGAAAAAAGGACTGCGAGGTTTGCGTCCCACCGCAAGTTAAGTGCCCCACTTGTGTGCATACCCCAGTGTCAGCAGGTGATGAGCCCAATTGCAGGCACGTTGCGCTTCTCCTCAGAGCGGTGGGGCAAACGGTCCTAAACGCCGGGAAGGTCCACAGCTAAGGGTAAGCCCTCAGGGTCGTTCCATTTCTGGAGCTTCTGGCAGAAGCCCTGGACAACCACGTTCGCAAGTTAATGCGCTCTCAGCGCAGCAATATGCAGATCTTCCCAGTATGGGAGTCGGTAGTTCCTGCGCCTTGAGGCACGAAGGTCGTGATACAGTAAGTCACGGCCTTATGAATTGTAGTGGTACTCCAGGCATGGGTGGTCCTTTGGCGGAGGGCGCTCGTGCAGTTCCTGTTGGGTACGTACTACCTGCCGATCACGGCAATCCAAGTGGAGTCAGGTCTGTTGAAGGGGACGGCCGGACCAGACAAGGCTGCACCGGTTACGTTTTGTTACCACCCTCAGTTGGTGGTATTCCAGTGGGAGGTGACCCACACTGTAAGGTACTAGCAGCCGGGAATGTTGCGCAGTTCTCTGGGCGTAATGCTAGTGGAAGCGGTGGTTTGGGTGAGCGTGCAGCTTTGCTCAACCAGCTTCAGTATGTGTCAAACGGACCTGGTTCCCCGCTTCTGGAGGTTCTTGCAGGTTCGAATTTTGAGGATGCTGGGTGTATCTCAGTGTTACAACATCTTGCGTCACCTATTGGTAATGAAGCTTATGGCCAGGCTTCGGCACCGTGTGTGGTAGGTGCGCAGTGTCAGTCCGAAGGTAATATCGGACAGTTGGTTAATGGGATAAGCGGTATGTGCACGCCGCACCCAGGGGCGTATCAGTGTGGGGTGGGAAATCCTGTAGGTAATAGGTGTTCCGCTGGTAATGTTGGCCCTGGTTACCTCGGTAATCCCGGTTAGGCCTCACGCCCCGTTGTGACCGTTGATGGTCACTGTGCAGACTCTGGCGGAGTCTTGCCTGAAAATATTAGGGTGAGTAGTAGTAATATGCCTCATCCTGTGGGTTCAGCTGGGGCGGGTGATGCTTTGGTTGATAGGGGTTTCGAGGTAACGGCCTCTATTCAGTCAGGTCGACCGTCAGTGAGTGGTCTTGCGAGCTTTGGAGGAGCTCTGCATCGTTCCACGTCAGGACTCTGCCAACTGGCCGAGGACCACTCAGCCTGAAATGATTGGCTCGAGTAATCCCGAGGGTGCTGATATGTTTTTTACTGGTCCGGTAGTAGGGGGTGTAAGCCAACGAGGTAGCCACGTGGCCATCCAGCTGAGTACCGCCCGATGACTACCGATGAACATCGCTTGTGGAATCTTAAGCTACGAGCCGACATGATTGGTAGAGCGGCTTTGAAGGCGATGCACTCACCGCATGTGCAGCAAATGTCGGTCGATTACGAAAGGCAAATTCAGGTACTACAGGCAGCCCTCGAAGCGAGAAGACCAAAGGCGATGACAGTTACGAGGATTGCGGCCCCGACCCCCACGATCCGTGACTGCTGACATGTTTCAAACTCCGAGAGGATCCGAGTGTCCAAAGGCGATGACAGTTACGAGGATTGCGGCCCCGACCCCCACGATCCGTGACTGTTGACATGTTTCAAACTCTAAGAGGTTCCGAGGGTCCAAAAGCGATGACAGTTACGAGACCGCGGCCCCGAGCCCGAGCCCCCACGAGCCCAATGATTGTTGACATGTTTCGAAATCCACTGGGATCCAATGGAGGGTCTATCAACGATTATCCCGATGTGGCCCATGCCTCGACCGCAAGGAAGGTCACAAAGTGTGCTTGGAGACCTGTTATGGGCCCTCCTAAATTTCTTAGATTCCATGGTTTTTCATAAGAAGGTATGTTTTCTCTTTGTCAATGATCAGGCCCAGGTTACTCACAGAGCTGAAGTCTTGAGCATTCCTGAGCCTACTTATAAAACCCACTATGTGGACCAGCAGTAGCTGGAGAACGGAGGCCTTATGCCTTGGGCCAGGGTCTTCAGCCAGCAAACTCCGTTCTACGACCTCGCGTACGCGGACGATGCAGCCCTGGTGGCGGGCACGGCGGAAAGGGCGGAGCAATTGTTGGAAATGGTTGAGGCGATCGCGTCTCACAGTAATCACTAGTTCAATTGGGGCAAATTATTGCTCAAGTTACCATCCTCACAGAACTCGGTTCGCAACCAACGCGGCGAGAAGAAGGTCAAGGAAGTCAAACACGCAAAGTACCTGGGCATTTTCCTCTCACGGAACAGCGGGTGACGCGGAAGGATGTTACAGAACGATTGCATAAGGCAAGGAAACACTTCAACGCCTTGCGCCACTTTTGGAGACATACGGGACTATCGCTTCATTGGAAACCGCGCATATGCAATGCCGTGTTCGTCCCCATGATTGTGTATGGTATGGAGTCGGCGGCCAGATCTCCGCAGAATCGAAGCATTCCATTCACAGACCCCCCCGTAAAATGCACAGGGTTCCTGCAACGTTTTACGCGAACCAGCCCCTCACCTACAACGGGCAGTTGCGCGAGCAATCCCTGCAGCCACCCCTCACACATCACATCCACAAGGCGCAATTGAAATTGTTTGGTCATATTAGAGCACCAGAGAGTTGTTTGGAGAGGAGCGTTCACTCCGCGAAACTCATCCAACTACACAACACCATTCAACACCCACTTGCTTGCTTCCCTTCAGCCACTCACATCAAGCATTGAAATTCAACCAATCCACTCAGGCACTGATTGGTTGAGACCGTTCAGTCACTGTTTCACGAAATCTTTTCTTTACAGGGGCGGCGTGGTGGGGTCAGGGTTTAGGAGAGGATGGCCCAGAGCTCATTGGGCGGAATTGTGCGCCAGACAGGCGTGGCACTACGCAGAGACACCGGTATTGTCGTTGGCGTTGTTGTCTTCAGGAAACGAACGATCAAGGTCTGGGTGGCCATCTTGCAGAGCTTACCCTCTGCGCGCAGGCCTGAGAAACCCGCCAAGGCTTCTAAGAAGCGTGCGCGCCAGGACATTGCCGTTCTTCTTTTGTTTTTTTACGGCGGGCATTGGTGTTGGCAGTGTTGTCTTCGGGAGACGCGCGTGGCCATCGTGTAGAGCTTCTGTTCGGCGCGCCCATTGCGCGCGGGCCTGAGCGCTCACGCCAGTTTTCTTCAGGAGATGAGCGCTCAAGCTGATGAACCACCATCTTCGATCAACAGGCCTGACCGGCCATTTTGCAGAGCTTGTGTTCGGAACACACCCTGCGGCTGAGGAAGCCTCCCAACTTTTCTAAGAAGCGCCCACGCCAGGACATTGCAGTTCTTCTCTTGTTTTGCAATCTGGGTGCTGATGTTGGCGTTGTTTTCTCCGGGACCTTCCGGAGAGTGGCGATGAAGATGATGAAAGAAAGGGCGTTGGCGTAATCGACGAGCCACCCGAGACTGCGTTGGACTTGGCGGCCGCCGTAGATGACCTGCCCGTGGACACCCCGCTTGACAAGTCTGCCGTAAAGGCTGGCCGAAGCAAAAGCGAATGCCTTGTTTCCTTGCGAAGGCAAGTCCGACCGTGTGATTCTCAATACAGGGGCAAGAACAATGTGCCAAGGGGTCGTAGTGTGCCTCAGCAGCGGAAGCCGAAGGTAGGCTTTGCCATCAGGAGGGCTCATTTGAAAGGCTGCTCAAGGAAGTCTTGAAAGCGATTCGCGAGGCTGACGGCAGCATGCCCGCTCCACCAAAGATGACGATGGGCGCTCGAGTTGTTGCGTAATATGCGTGTGAAGAGTTTGTGCGCAGTCTCTACTCCGATAGGCGTCTACGCTCGCCATGCCGGCCGGGCAGAAACCGTTTCAAGGAAGGACTTGCGGCTGGCCCGGGACATTCGTGGAGGGCGCCTTCTCGAACAAAGGCGGGAGGATGCAGAGGCCAAGTAGAAGAAGTCTTTCCACGCCAAACACCAGCGTCGCTTTGTGAAGACGGTTGCTTGAGATTGAGGCTTCATGACCGCGTGTGCTTCAAGGGTGTTTTAAGG